GTCTTGTCTTGTTCCATTTCTGTTGCAATTTTGTCAAAATTTAAAGAATTAATTTCTTCAACAATTTTGCTGCGTTTTTCGTTGTTTGTCATATTTGCTGCAAAATTTAAAGGAGAAAATTCTGAAGAATTGCGCTTAGACATGTCAAAAGAATATTACCCAATTAAATGCCTTTTTTTAAAAATTTCCTTAAAGAAAAAATATTGTTTAAAAAATAAAAATAAAAAATGATAAATTTCAATAAAAATTAAGAAAAAAGGGAAAAAAACAGTTCTGATTTTATGAATCATCAAAAGAGAAATAGCACAAATGATAGAGAGAAGAGAAAAAAAAATACTAGTATGAATTGTCATTTAAATAAATTTTTTAGATAGAATGCCAAATTATATATTAGATATATATATCCGCGTTTCCCATTATATTTTCTGCCGCAAGACGCGCGCGTTTTTTATGTAAGCGTAACATTATGCAGTTAAAAATTTAAAATATTTAATTAAATTTTACAAAGGATATAAAAAATTAATTAACGAGTTAATTAATGTTTTGTATTAAGCAATAAAATTTTAATCTAAATTAGTTTTACTTCATACTTTTTGCTTTCTTATAACAAGCACAAAAATCAGTTTATTGTGAAGGTCGTACTTTAAATGCGCAATACGTAAAGCACTTAGGATTGTTAAAATAACTGATTTTATTGCTTGTTTTAACGGGAGAGAAGGCTTAATTGATAATTCTCGTTGTGATTGTTAATGAGTCCATTAACAAATTAAGGGGAATTCGTTTATAACGCCGCGTAAACAATTAAAAAAAATAAACTTTTTAAGAGATTTCGCGATGATTCTAAGTAAAATATTTTTAAATTTTATGTAGTCTTTGATTAAAATTATGGAAAAAATTGAAAAATTAGGGACAAGATTGAGTAAAATTGGCAATAGATTAGGTAAACTAAAAAATAAGACAAAATATGTTTAGTTAATTTTGTCCCGCCTGATCCCCTCAATTACTTTAGTTTTTCCATTGTCGCGTAATTGGTTGGCTGCCCAAATTTTTTTACATCCGTAGGGCGGAGTCCATAAAAATCCAAAGGCATTGAAATTAGGTATATAATTTTATAATTCAAGTAAAATAATGTTAAGAACCATAATCTTTCTGTTCTTAAATTAGAAAAATAAATAAAAGATTGAATTCGAATTTAGGTATATTTTTTCACACAATGTATTAAGGCACGTTTTGGATTAATTCTTAGGGTCATAACATTGCGGCAACTCGTTTAAGCGCTTAAGCAATCCAATGGGACAAATTAAATAAGGTACAATGCTGTGTTTATCAGTGTTGCCGCGGGTACAAAAAATCTTCGGGTACGGGTTTTGGGTATCGGGTTGGAGCGTTTTCATTTCGAGTCACGGGTTTCGGGTTGGAAAATTTTAAATTTGGGTATCGGGTTTCGGGCGGCAACCCTGGTTTTTATACACCCACATTTTCTTCTCATTGTACCTCATACAAAAATATCGCAATAGGTTCAAAGGCAGATAAAGTGGAATTAAAGTACCTTGGTAGCTAATAGATGTCCTTTCAAAGGGACATTCTATTAGAGAGGCAATTCAAATTGAGGGGAAAATTTATATTTATTCATCCTCCAAGGTGTCATTCTATTGGAGGGTGCGATTTAAATTAAGAGGGCCATTCTATTAAAGATACCAAGGTACTTTAATTCAATTTTATTTGCCTCTGACCGTTTGAAATATTTTTGTAAGAGGAGTAACAAGGACAAAGAACGAAAATATGGGTGTATAAACGCATTCCAAATTAAGTTCCAATGTTCCAAATTAAGTTCCGAATTAAGTTCCAAATAAAGAAGAATTTCCTAATTAATTGGCACTTTTTACCATTTTTACAAGGAATCATAACTTTAAATGTGTGAAAAATTGACAAGGATAGGATTAGATTGAAATAGAATTAAGAATAAAATGACAGGAAACGGTGAAAAATTTTCCAAAATTAAATAGGACAGGACCAAGCAACAGGATTATAATTTAAGCATGCCAATTTCTGGTGAAGGGAAAAGTCCAGCAATAAATAAATGACATCCATATATTAAATCTTATTTAGGCGCGACTCAATTTTTGACATTTTATTTTTACACATTTTTATTCAAATGGACGGAAACAACTTTTGGTAATTAATTTTAATTCACTCTCATAACTAATTTGTTAGAAAGGCTAGAAAAATAAGTTATATCAATTCGATTATTAATAAAAGTGCATTATGAATAATCTAGGGAAAATAATGAAAATAAAACAAAAACAAATTTTATTCCTGTATATTTTAGAGATCGGAACGGGTCCCGGACCAGTTTCACGGTTTTCAGGTTCCTTTTCCCGGTTTTATTGAAGCAATCGGATGGAACCGGGAACGGGAATTCCCGATTTTCCCGGTCCGGGTCCCTCCCGGTTAACTTTCAGAACCCGTTTCCGTTTCCCGGACCCGGTTTTTTGAAATTACGATTTCTAGTATATTTAATAAAAAAATGAATTTTTAAGTTTATAAATTAATTTATACAAATTTAATTTTAAAAAATTATAGAAATATTTCAATAATGAAATTTGAAACCTTTACTGAGAGACACAAAAATCTGCATAATTGCAGATTCCCGAGAAAAGAATTTAAGAATAATATAATTCAGTGCCGATCATCCGGATGCTCATTAATTTAAAAGAGTCTAAAGGATATTTAATAAATGGAAGGATTAAAAAGGGATGTTCGCTAGTGTATAACCTTCAAGATTGTGAGGCCACTATTTTTTAATAACAAAAAATTCAAAAAAATAAACTATTGTTAAATACATAAAGGCTAAATTAAGAAAAATAATTTTTAAAAATTAAAAAATACCGGGTGTATAATTAAGGAAAAGAAAAGGATTTATAATAGGCTTAAGAAAAGACATGGGCAGGAATTTTTCGAAAACTCATGGAAATAATTTTACCTCAACTTAGCGTTAGTAAACGAAAAACTAAAATTGGAGAAGTTTCGAAATTTCGACTTTGGCGATCTTTCAAAATTTTCACTAAAAAAATTTGGCTTCTTAGCCTTCCAAAATTATCAGTAATGAATATTTGATAAGTAAAAATATATAATCAAAATTTTTAACACGAATTTTTTAAATTAATTTAAGAGTTATTATACATTTACAATATAAAACCTTCATAATTTTTAATTCGGTTGTATAATTCCTCTTTCTTTTAAGCAAAGTTTTGGCGGCTACATTAATAATCCTTTTCCTTTGTTCCTAAAAAGTTTTACAAGATTAATTATCTATTATTAAATAAATAAAGAATAATTTTTTATCCTTTGTTTGATAAAAATAAAAAATAAATTAGCAATATTTAATTACGTTTAGAGCTTTTAAACATATGTTTTGACTAAAATTTTTTTAAAAATAACAGTGATTACTTGACATTTTGCATCTTCAAAATACGGTACTTATCGGTTATACGCCCACAAACTGAGTGCAAGCCGAATTTGATCAGCTATAACTTTTTGATGCTTGATCCAATTCAAATAAATCTTATACCATTCGAAAGCCGATATTTTTGGACGATATTTAGGGTGTCGATATTTTGGGGTGATCTCATTTAGACATCATCCGTTACAACGGGGATTTCCATCATTGGTTATTTACCATATTTATAGTTTTCTGCTTCATTTCATACTTTTTATTTCCTTTTTTAATCATCTACAGGTTAAACCTTTAAGATAAAATTCCTTGAAAACAAGTACCATATCAAACCTCCAACCAGAATTTGGAAAAACTAGTGCATCTATTGTATTGATGATCCAAGACACAAAACAAGAGGATCATTGGTAACGTTTTGTCTATCGACATAAGTGTTGATGAATGGTTGAAATCAGAATACAAACCTTTATTAACTTTAAAGTTTTGTATTCTTTAATCAGAAAAAAGATAGAGATTTTATTGTAGTATCTATTTTGGGTTACAGGAACCACGGAACTACGGTCTGGTTTATGGGACATGCGGACACGTCCTTAGAAAAAACAAAAAGACTTGTCTAAAAAGGGCAAACAAAAAACAGACAGATTAACACTTTTCGATTATATAAATGACACAAGAGATGACATGTAGGCAAAAAAATTCCGGCAATGTAATAATGACCTTTCCATGAGAAAATAATATTTTATTACGAAATATAAATTTACCTAATGTTTTCATTTAGATATTATTTAAATTCAATTAAAATTTAAAGAATGTTTTTAGAATTTTGTAGGGCCAAGATGCCAGACGTGACAATAATGTCCTTATCTCCGTTTTAGGTAACCCGGCCCACCATTACGTAATAATTAGGGCGTGTCAAAATATGCACGGAAAATCCCAAAATATGCGCATATATATGCACCGAAAATATATGCTTTAAAAAATTAATATTTGAGGTAAAAAATACTAATTTAGCATTTAAATTGCAGTTTAAGAGCACTTCTAAAAGATTTTATGAACTTAAAATTCAATTTAAAAAATTTTTTTGAAAAAAAAATTTTTCGCGAAAAATTTTTCGAAAAATATTTTCAACAAATTTTTATTTAAAATTTTTTTGCCCAAAAAATTCCAAAATTTTGAAAATTTTGCCTGATTTTTACTAAAATTTTTCAAAAAATGCCAAAATATGCACAAATTTAGGTAAAAATATGCAAAATTTACCAAAATATGCACAGATATGCAAATATGCACGAAAGTACCGAAATATGCAAAAATATGCATTAAGAACCGGGTTCTAAAGTGCTCTAACCGATGTAAAAACACCATTTTTGAGCGTTTCAGCTCATGGCATATCCGCATGCAAAATATGCATTTGCATGTTTTGACACGCCCTAGTAATAATAAAACAAACACAGCAAATATATTTTTTAATTTTGAAGTTAATTAAATTCATTATATGCTCTTAAATTTTTTAAATTTTTTTAAAAATCCTTCTTCTGCTCTTTCATTCCTAGCACCCATATTCATGGTTATCCTCAGGTTTCTCGTTTAAATCAAAAGGATACTCATTTAAATTTATCTGATTCATGCAATTCTTTGGAATTTTATTTGGCTCTTCTACCACTTGTTTATTTTGTTCATTCACATATGCTTCTGTTTCCTCATCCTCTTGATTAGAACTACTTCTTTCTTCAGACCGAATCCTTTCTTCATAAACGATTGGCATTTTACCTTTATTTCTAACATCATCATTCTGCGGATTGGAAGTTCCTCCTTCACCATTATTTTCATAATGAACATTTCCTAGTACTTGTGGATATTTTAAGTTTTCTTTTTTATTTTTCCTTTTTTCTCGGTATTTTCGGACAGCTTCTCGCCTCCTTTCCCTATTATTTTCTCGGTATTTTCGGTCAAATTCGCGTATTTTTTCCCTATTATTTTCTCTGTATTTTCGCTCCTTTTCTCGCTTTTTCTCCTTATTAATTTCTCGATATTTTCGACCAGATTCTCTCATCATTTCTCTATTATTTTCTCGATATTTTTGATTATATTCTCTCTTCTTTTCCTTATTCTTTTGGTAATACTTTCGGACAGATTCTAGTTTTTTTTCCTTATTGTTTTGATAATAAATTCTCATATATTTATTTATATTCAACCTTTTTTCGTCTTTTTCACCATTTGTTGTGCCATTCTTTGTAATTTTAGGTTTTGGTTTTAACATTCGAATTTGAGGATTAACCGATGATTCCGCTCCATCATTATCCTTTGAAGTTTCTCCAACTCTAGCTAACTCATTTTGATTTTTATTATTTTTAACAGAATTAATTAAACTCCAAAATATCGCATTGACGAGGAGAATTATTAATATTCTACCAAGTTTCATTATAAATTAATTTAAAAAATATATTTAAAATAAATTATTTTATTTACTACTAATTAACCAAAAATAATAAATTTTGACGTTAATGTTGAATTTAAGTATTCTGTTTATATTTTATAATAAAATATCCGTTTTCTCAGTGAAAGTGCATTATGATAAAATTTTAGGATGTACTTTCGGTCGTCAATACCTAGGCTGAACGAAATTTCGTTTTGTTCCTTCATGCCCTTTTTTCTATTTCGTTTCGTTCGAAATTTTGTTATTTCGCTTCGAAAAGAAACGAAATAGAAAACAGGGCATGAAGGAACAAAACGAAATTTCGATCAGCCTAGGTATTGACGACCGAAAGTACATCCTAAAAATTTTTCACAATGCACTTTCACTGAGAAAACAGATATTTATTATGAAATATAGACAGATTACTTAAATTCAACACTACCTTCAAAATTTTTTATTTTTGTTTAATTAGTAGTAAATAAAATAATTTATTTTAAATATATTTTTTAAGTTAATTTATAATGAAACTTGGTAGAATATTAATAATTCTCCTCGTCAATGCGATATTTTTGAGTTTAATTAATTCTGTTAAAATTAATAAAGATAAAAACGAGTTAACTAGAGTTGGTGAAACCTCAAAGGATAACGATGGGGCTGAATCATCGGTTAATCCTCAAATTCAAAAAGATCAAACGTTAAAACCAAAATATACAATTTCAAAAAAAGGCAGAACAGTTATGGATGATAGAGCAAAGATACGAGAAAGTAATCGAATTTACTACCAAAATAATAAAGAAAAGAGGAAAGAATGTTGCAGAAAATATCGAGAAAATAACAGGGAAAAGGTGCGAGAATCTGACCGAAATTATTACCAAAATAATAAAGATAAAAAGCGAGAATATACTAGAAAATATCGAGAAAATAATTTAGAGATGAAGCGAGAAAGAGAACGAAATTACTACCATAAAACTAAGGAAAAAAGGAGAGAAAGTGTGCGTAATTACTACCAAAATAATAAGGAGGAGAAGCGAGAATATGATCGAAAATACCGAGAAAAAAGGAAAAATAAACAAACAAGTTTACAAAATGTTTATTCAAAAGAAAGAAATGTTCATTCTGATAATGAAGAAGGAACTTCTTTTGTTTATACACAGAACAATGATTTTAGAAATAAAGATAAATTGCCAATCGTTTATGAAGAGGGCATTCGGTCTGAAGTAGAAAAGCTTTCTAATCAAGAAGAGGAAGAAAGTAACAAAGACGAAGCTGAGAACTATGTGAATGAGCAAAATCAAAATGTGGTAGAAGAGCCAAATAAGATTCCCGGGAATTGCATGAATCAGATAAATCTAAATGAGTACCCTTTTGATCTGAACGCGAAACCTAACTATAAAAATCCTTTTGATTTAGATGAGAAACCTTAGGATGAATATGAGAACGATTTATAAAAGAAAAATATATTTTAAAAAATTGCTAAAATATTCAAAGTAGATTAAAGAATTGTAAAACTTTAGACAACTTTTATAAAATTTCAAGCATTCCTGATTTTCTGTTAATCACTTGATTTGAGATATGTGTGACTTAAATATTTGTTAATTGCTGAGTTTAATTTTACTTTAAAAAATTTGTTTCTGTTGATTCTAAATGTCTATTTCAATGTTTTAAACAATCGAATCGACTTGTCGAATAACTTGCGAATCGCCTGTTGATTTTTCTCTAATTAAGAAATGGATTATTTTGTCCTTACGAATGTCGTCTTGCATTTTGCGGCAAAAATAGCATTCGAAAGAAGGAGACATGCTATTCCCAATGCTATTTTTGCCGCAACAACAAGAGGCTTTTATGTAAAACAGCATTACTAATATCTACAAAAGTGCAATTTCATAATGCACTTTCCTTTTTTAATTTAGACATGTACTTTATATTTTTTATTATGAAATGTAAAATAATTTTTCCCAATGTATTTTCATCATCTATATAGCTTATCGGTACACCTCAATTGAGTCCCGACTCAATTGAGTCCCGGACCCTATAACTTATGAAGGGATGGTCACTTTTTGTTATTCTTGGTACCATTGGATAGAGCATTAAATAGGCTACAATATACCAAAAAATCAAAATTCCTGACCGACTGGTAAAAAAGTTATGATCGATAAAGTGCCGAAAAATCAGATTTTTTTGAAAAAGTTAGTTTTTAAATCATAACTTTTTTATCAATCGGTCAAAAATTCTGATTTTTTGATATGTTATAGAGCTTTTAATTCTCTATCAAATGATACCAAGAACATGAAAAAGTGTTCTTTTCTTGCTAAGTTATAGGGCCGGGACTCAGTTGAGCCGGGACTCAGTTGAACTGCTCCGATAGCTTATTTAAATTCATTAAATTAAAATTTATTATTTTTGGTTAATTTGTAGTAAATAAAATTTTATTTTAAATAAATTTTTTAAAATTAATTAATGATGAAACTTGATAGAATATTAATAATTTTAATCGTCAATGTAATATTTTGGAGTTTAATTAAAAATGCCAATCGTTTACAAAGAGAGCATTCAGCTTGAACAAGGAAATGTTTTTAATCAAGAGGAGGAAGAAGTACTAAAGGGGAAACAGAAACTCATATGGAAGAGCAAAATCAAACTGTGGTAGAAGAGCCAACTAAAAGTAATTCCTTAAGTCAGATAGATTCAGATGAAGAAGATTATCTTATATATCTGAACGAGAAACCTGAGGATGAAGATTGAAAAAAATTAATTTCCATAAGTTCAGATTTTCAGAGAGAGTAAATTTAAGTATTTTTAACTTTAAATAACTTCGTTGTAAACAATATAAAAATTAGAAACTTGTCTTTTTTAAACCACACACCGGTACTTAATAGGGTTTGTTTCAGTTAATAAGCAAATATCTGAAACTTTAACATATCTCGATTTAATGTAAATTCTTTAACTGAAAATCGAAGATTAAGGAAAAATCAGGTTCGATTTTGAGATTAAACCGTCGCCCTTACTAAAGAAATTTATTTATGGCATTATGTTTTTAAATGACATTATGTCCCATAATTTGGTACTTATAGTGTTTGGGTCCGCTGGAAAAAATTATTCTATCTGATCCTTAATTTGTATGAAATCTCTTCTTCCTCTTCCTCAATTTTATTCATTTTCCCTGTGGCATATTCAAATGATAGACATTAATGAAAAAAAGATTATCTATCATGTTGCAATAATGACTGAAATGGCAAAAATGAAAATATTGATCCCAATGTTTGATGATATTGGAGAAAAATCTATAATTTGAATATGCCACAGAGAAGTAGAGAGAAATTAAGGAAGGAAAAAAGACCGACCATTATTACATACACTCCGTTAATAAAGTATAAGCACCCCCAAATTTTCGTAAAAATTACATAATCCCTAAACATTATTTGTTTTATTTTTTTCCTACATCAGTAGGGATCCAAATCATAACTAAAAATAAAGTTTCAGAAATTTTTATCGATTTAAAAATTTTAAAATTGAATTTTCTCGAATTTGAGGTGTTAAGAAAGTATAAGCACCCCTGTAAAAATTTAGCTTCTACTTATTGTAAAATTCTACAAAAAATACAGTAAATTTGTCTATCGATATTATGGAAAATAAAAAAAGAATTAGGCCGATATCTCATTTCAGTTTCGAGATCTCGATACCCTGAAAATCAACGGAAAACCGGGGGTAGACGTCTTTAAAAAATTTTTTCGACCCCTTATGGTTTGTTTAAAATTTTTGTTCTAGGCTTATTCGAAAGCCCTTAAAATTTGCTACAAGATAGAAAAAATCTTATTTCCCAGAAAAAATTCTAATGAGAGATATATGCCGTTAATCTTCCGAGGCTATCATAAAGGGCATTTTATGGGGCATTCAGGCGTTTTTTGTTAACATAGAAATTTGACAGTTAATAACATAACAAACTATTTTTTCTGGGAAATAAGATTTTTTCTATCTTGTAGCAAATTTTAAGGGCTTTCGAATAAGCCTAGAACAAAAATTTTAAACAAACCATAAGGGGTCGAAAAAATTTTTTAAAGACGTCTACCCCCGGTTTTCCGTTGATTTTCAGGGTATCGAGATCTCGAAACTGAAATGAGATATCGGCCTAATTCTTTTTTTATTTTCCATAATATCGATAGACAAATTTACTGTATTTTTTGTAGAATTTTACAATAAGTAGAAGCTAAATTTTTACAGGGGTGCTTATACTTTCTTAACACCTCAAATTCGAGAAAATTCAATTTTAAAATTTTTAAATCGATAAAAATTTCTGAAACTTTATTTTTAGTTATGATTTGGATCCCTACTAATGTAGGAAAAAAATAAAACAAATAATGTTTAGGGATTATGTAATTTTTACGAAAATTTGGGGGTGCTTATACTTTATTAACGGAGTGTATTAAGGAAAAATAGAATTATTTTTTTCCAGCGGACCCAAATCCTATAAGCAGCTTGTAACGTTTTTGTAACGTTTTTGTATTGATTTTTTATTTTTTAAATTATAGAACAATTAATTACTTACAAAAACTAAATCACTTCAAACAATAATGTCAGTCAGCCTGGTTGCTTGGAACAAAACTGATAAAGACAATTTGGTTATCCAGAAGGACTTGCTTCGTAAAGATACCTCGGTTATTGAGGGTCAGATAATTTCTACTACTGACAACACCACTTCAATTCCTGAGGTTTTTCTTTGTATTTTTGATAATTTAAATAAATTCTAGGATATTCTCGTGTCTATATCTAAAAATGTTGGGGGTGAAGTGGAACTGATACCAACGGAGGATGATCGTTCGTTGTCTTTGAAAGCAGTTGCTGTTGCTTTTCCCGGCGTTGTTAGTCTCGAATTTAAACATTCGTCTGGAGGGTATCAACAGCTTCGGTATATTTTCAAAATTTTTCTGGTTTTCATTCTTGCTAAGCTCAGTTTGACTCTAAAAATCGTTGTTACTTACTGCTTTTCCCTTACTCGCCAATTGTTGTAAATTCGATAATCTCTAGTTTACTGGTCCCTGGAGAAAACGAACAAGGAATGTTCTTTCGGTATTTTCGAGGCTTTCTAATAGGTGATCGATATGCATGTCCAAAGCTTAGAATTTGATTCTTACCTCGGACTCGACTTCGATCAACTCTAACCTCATAGGATTATTCCCAAAATTTTAAGCGATTTGCTTGATCAAATTCGGGTCATTTTTTTGGGGAACCTGTAAACTATTTAGAAGATTACCGGGAATTCATACTCTTACTCAAATTTATTGTTGGCAAACAGCAGAGAATATTACAACTATTTCCTAATTTTTTTAGTTAAGGCCTAGAATTTAAAGAAAATCAGTTTATATCCCATTATTGTTTTTTACATTAATTTGTCCGCAAAACAAAGAATTTCGGATAAAGCTTTGACTTTAACATTTCCTACTAGTAAATAATTCTAAATACCTATATCTTTTTAATTTTTAGTATGAATCCAGAAAGAAGTCTTTTTTTTGAACCGTCAACTGGTTGGGCGAATAAAAGTATTATTTTAATTTTTCAGTTTAAAATTCTATTTTTTCTCTTCAAAGCATTCATTGCTGTTTGCAAGACAGAAGTGCCCGACCCAGAAGTTGTTCAGTTAAGAAAAGGTTTATATTCTTGATTTACACAAGTTTGGAATAGGGGTACTTAATGATTTCTCGGGCCATAGGATAGGGTAAAATCCTTTTTGTCGTGTCCGGACAATGAGTCAGTGGACAATCGGTCAGTGTTGATAAAAAGTGATTAAAAGTGATGATGTAAAGAGATAAAAAATGATAAAAAGGAATAAAGATGGGATATAAACAGAATAGGAGTATTTAAAAAGGGATTTTCAGGTTTAAAAAAGATATAGAGGGGCTTGTTGCGATTAAGGTCGATATCTCGGGGTTTGGAGGATTAACAGAAATATTAAGTTACTTGTTTAGGTTAAGATGGAGATTAGCCGATTTGAAGGGATATCAAGGAATTTTTATATCTTTATATCATCACTTTTAATCACTTTATATCAATACTGACCGATTGTCCACTGACGCATTTTCCAATGACGCATTGTCCGGTAGCCCTTTTTGTGGTATATTGTAAAAATATATTTATGAGTTTTGTTCTCCCTTTTTATTAAATTGAGGATTTTTGAGGAGGATTTTTGAAATATCAACTATTTTAATTCTTGTTTTTATTTTCTATTTTATAGATATTGAAGCTTTAAAGAAGGATATGTCTGAATTTGTTACACGTAAGGAGATGCTTGATTTATTTGCTCAAATGAATTCACGGATCGATAACTTATCAAATAACAATATCAGTTTGCGTTGGCAGATAATTTGGAATAAATTTGTTAATTATTTCAATAAATTTAAAAATATCTCTGCATTATATAATGTTCAGGAATATTCAGGGAAAGTGTTGTTATAAGGCTTTTAAAATTTTGGTTGTTTTTAATTAATCTATATTTTTTATAACCTCAAAGACTACTTAAAAATTTCATTTTTTTCTAAACTTAACTAAATTTAAAAAATATAGATCCATACTTAACTAATTTATTACTTTGTATGTATGCTTATAAAAAAATTTGCTTTACTAATTTATTTATGTTTTTCCTAAAAATCATGTCTTTTATAAAAAAGTGTAATTTTAAAAAATAATCTGCAATCTCTTCAAGGGTAGGAAAACTATAAATTTTTTGCCTTTTTTCAAAAATTATTTGTTCATTGTGTAAATTAAAAAAATATTTTCAGAATTTTTCTAAAATAAATGTTTAAATTTCCTAAAAATTCTTTATTTAAAAAATTTAAATTCACGAAACCTCGAAACTTTTGGCTTTCCAACCCAATCTTAAAGCCTTAAATATGATTTATACTTAAAATAAAACAAGAATCTTTTTTATAATTTACTTAATAAGCAAAAAAATTCGTAAAATTCTTCTGAAAACAGAAATTAAAGATTCTTCTGTTTTATTGTATTTTTTAAATTTTACTCAGGATTTATGTATACATAATTTAACTGCCTTTTTTTAATTAATTTTGTATAACTCAATTTTTAAAATAAAAATAATCTCTCTTATTTTTATATTTAATTTCAAAGAATGGTAATTTTGGGACGGTCTTGGCCAGGATAATAGATTTAAAAATAATTATAAGGATAATTCTTGGTCGATCAAATAAAAATATAAACTATAATTTTAAAAGAATAATTTTAATTCTTATCTAAACAACGAACTATCTTCCATAAGACTAGTATTTTTAATAGAGAATTAAATTTTTGTTTAAGTTTTCTACAGGTTTGAAGTCGGCGTCAATTGCTCGCGCCAAACTGGGCCGTTTTGGCGCGAGCTTATAAGATGACGAGTTTGTTATCAAAAATGATAAAATTTTGCAATAATAACTCTCATACCTTTATCTATATTCTCCAAAAATTTCAGTATTTTTGAGCAAGAATTTTAGAAATTATGGCCAAAAATGTCGATTTTCTGAAAAATGCCTAATTTTTCTGATCTATCGCCTATAACTCCAGAAATATCTTATGAAAAATTCTGAAATTTCTGGAGGAGTTAGTCAAGGATGTTAAAGAAATTTGAAAAAATTTTTATGAAGTTAAGTATCGCCCAAGTGCCAGATTTTTGTTCTCGCGCCAAAACGGCCCGGCGCCAAAACGACCACAATCCTCAATTGGCGAAACCCCGCGCTTCGCGCGGGGTTTCGCGGCACGCGCCTCGCGGGGAGTCAACGGTCGCTGGGCTCTGGGTCGGTAACATAGACCTATTCCTATCTCCCTTGCTTTGGATGTATTTACTTGGGGCCCCAGTAGCAGCAAAAACATCAACATAGCCATAGGTAAGGAGCTAAAACAAACGAGCATAACTTTGTCAAATCAAGTCAGATTTCGTTGATTTTGGTGTCATTCGCCTCTGCTCGACGAGCTGAGTCGAATGAGCTATTATTTGCATTTTCGAATTTTTTACCCCAAAATGAGCTTACTCCCCCCTTCTCTTTTTCAAACTTCAGGGATCTGTATCTCGATCCCTGATTGTCGGATCGACTTCTCTCACCCCGCGATCGACTCAGCTCGGCGAGCTCTTTCGAATGACACCTCATTTGTCCAAATCGGTCCAGCCAGCAAAAACCCCCTATAAGTCACAATACCCCAGGACGGGGTCCCGCGCGGGATTTTGCGGGTTCCCGTCCCGCAATCCCGCGCTTTTGTTCGATTTGCGGGATTTGCGGGATGCACCGCGGGATCCCGTCCCGCAAAGATTTAAAAAAATCCCGCATGAGGGATTCCGCAAACTCGATTTTACCGGTCTCTAGTTTAAAATGCCCCTTTGTTTTAATTTAAATTTTAAACAAATTTGGCGTTATGTTTTTTGGCGTAACGATTTTTCAAAAATCGACAAATTATTTTTGCCTTTTTCTATTTACATATTTTTTAATTTTTGTCTTCGGTTTTTCTTTAAAAAAATATTTTTTCTCTTACATATTAATAAATGTGCATTTTTATAATCTTCTTTTTTTGTCTGTTATTTGAATTAACTTTTGTTTAGGTCTAAACGTTTTATTTTTAAAAGAAGACTTCTCCTTCTTTCCTTCCCAAATCATTCTCATAAAAATTCAACCCTTTTTTATAAACTCTCTTTTTACAAAAATACATATGTTGCATATTTTGCCTAAGTGAAATTTTGCAAAAAAATGGATTGCCTGTCTCTAGTTAATAATTATTAGCTTTTTTACTTTTTTGAGTTTTCTTCTGAAATTTTTTTTCAAAAAATTTTTTCAAAAATCAGAGTCTTTTTAACCATACCAAAAATTGTTTTTATTTTTTCCAAATTTTAAGATTATTAAATTAAAAAAAATTCTATTTAATAATGAATATTGGTGGTGAGAGTATGCTTCTCTCTAATATTGGGATTTGCGTCGGTGTTGCAAAAGATGGACGTTTTAAAGTAGCTCATCTGGTTTTGTTAGGTAGGAATGCGCCTGAACGCTTGGGGTGGGGTGGATCTCACATAACTGTTGACCGGGCTTACATTAAAGAGGGGATATTTTATAATACTCGAGCTTCCGGAGAATTTTAATTTCTCATTACCCTAAAATATAAATTTTTTAAATTCTAGAACGACCACAGTGCATTCATACTTGTCCATGGAATTTAGACGAACATTTTGAAACTGGCCGTTGGTGAGTAAAATAAACTTTAATTTAATCAAAACATGAGAATGTTTGTCAATGTTTAAATAAACTTTAACCGCTAAACAAACAAAACAAACATTGTTTTAATTGGTTTAAACAATTGTAAATAAACCGCTAAAACAAACAACTAAATAAACATGTTTTTAAAACTTGTTTAATTCGATCAAAATATGAGGACAACAAAAACATGTTTTTAATAAACATGTTTTTAAGCATTGACAAACATGTCAAGTTTTAAACTTGTTTTCAAACATGTTTTTAGACTTGTTCAAATGAACTTGAATGCAAACATTAAAACAAAACATTCAAGTTGCAATAAATAACCCTAATTGTTAAAACAAACATCTAAATAAACTTTAATCTGAACAAAACATCTAAATAAACTTTAACAGAAAAACAAAGTTTAAACTTTAGGTATCGCCAAGTTCGTGTTAATGATGAATATTCAGCAATAACTAAAACATATTGGAAATTAATAGAGGATGAATTTATTCCAACAATTTTAATTCGAGCTGGGGAAAGATTTACGTTGATTGAGGTGAATTTAAAAGGAATTTTGTTTGCCCTTTAATTTTTTATTTTTAGGTATCATTGCCTATATTTTTTGCACCAGACTTGTCCTTATTTTCATCGTTACAACATAAAAATTCAAAAGTTGCATTAAAACCAATTTGTCCTTTGTTTGGTCAAGAAAGTCTTCAGGTGAAATTTTCTAAATTTTTTTTTCAAAATTCACTTCTCATAAATTTTTTTCTTAGATTCTGGATTTACCGGTTGACGGATTTTCTGATAGAAACGGGAATGTGCCTGTACCCGGAACCTTGTATTGTGTTCGAGTTCAAATGTGAGAGATTTATCTATGAGCTAATTTCATTAATTTTTTAGTTCATTTACTCCTGGACTTATTCCAATATGGACGTATAATGAAAATTATGTTGGAACTCTAGATTCTTTTCATTGGACTTCAGCATTTATGGCGGAGGTAAATAAATCTAATGTTTTGACGAGCCTTAGATTGAACTTGAAAAATAAAATAAATTCTAGCTTGAACTTGAGATTCAAAATAAGAATACAAGTTTAATAAGTTTTATTTTTTAAGGTTAAACTTAGAATAAGTTTTAAGCATGAGCTTGCAAATACAATAGGTTTTACTTGCTTCAGAGTGAGTTTAGAAGTAGTTAAGCTTGATCTTAAGAATTTAAGTTTTTAAGCTTGTGCTTAATAAACATTCAGTTTTATTTTTTCCTGAGATCAAGCTTAGAAAATAAGTTTTAAGCTTGAACTTAAAAATAAATAAACTTAAGTTTATACTCAAAATAAACATTTTTTCAGAACTCTATCAGTACAGACATTTTCAAATCTTATCGTGTAGATGGACTTGTTATAGAGAAAATTGTTCGAATGACAAGACAAAGAAAGATTTTGAATTATTACTTTATACTTCAAGAAAATGCTAAAGAGTTTCCTCCACGTTTGGCAATTGCTGTTGGACACGATGCAGATAAATATGGAGGGGGGAAGTCTTTGGATGTTGGGGATTGGATTAGCTTTTTGCCTATGTGAGTGGTTCTTAGATTAAAAAAATTCTTTTTTAGAATGCTTGATTGTTATACCTATCCAGTTTTGTTTGCCTTACATTGCCCATCTTCCAATACAATTTCTAACAAAAAATTGAAATTGTTCAAGGAACCGGAGGGAGACGTGAGTATTCTCAAATCGGAGCAGTTCAACTGGGTCCCTCAACTGAGTCCCGGCCCTATAACTCAAGTGCGGGTTGATAATTTTCAATGTTTTTGGTACCATTAGATAGAACATTAGATGGACTACAATATACCAAAAAATCAAAATTTTCGTGTGATTGGCAAAAAAGTTATGATCTATAAACTAACTTTTTCAAAAAAATCTGATTTTTCGGCACCTTAACGATCGTAACTTTTTTACCAACCAGACAAGAATTTTGATTTTTTGATATATTGTAGCCTATTTAATGCTCTATCCAATGGTACCAAAAGCAAAAAAAGTGACCATCCCTTCATAAGTTATAGGGTCCGGGACTCAGTTGAGTCTGGACTCAATTGAGGTGTACCGTTGTCAAATTACTTAAAAAAATTTTTTTCCCTATTTTTAACAGTATAAATTGACCTTAAAAATTACTGAGGAATATTTGGCCTTTATTAAATCAGGAGAGAACAGCAACAACAATAATTGCCGTTTGCCTGTGCTAGGATTGCTCGTTGACCCTTTCAATTGTTCAAAGAATTTGTTGAATAAAGTAGTTTTTATGAGATGAGAAAGTTTATAAAAATAATTTTTTAGTTGGGGCATCTAGTCACAATAGAAATACGCCCTCAATGGCATATGGAAAAAGGGGTGGTTATTTGGACGGCTTTGAATAGTTGTGAAAATTCTAAAGTGCCGGTTTTGGAAACGAAAAGATGTTTTAGAGATACTGCGTCAGTTGATAAGTTTGTATTATTAAATTGAAATTAAAAAAATTATTTAAATTTTTTCAAGTTTTGCAATTAACAACGACAACTTTACCAGCAATTACTCACCTTTAACCGGGCCCAATAAATTATCGCTAGGATCAAAAAGGATTTTAGCAGCCTATTTTACTTACAAATGTTCAACTAATTGTTTTGTATTTTTTGAATTCTGCGAGATAACGAATACTTTTAGTTGTAGACATGATATTCCTTTACTGCCTAAGTAAACAAAATTTATTATATTATGTAAAAAAAAATTTTTTTTTAATTTTTAGAGCAAGTAGAAATATTACAATTGGTGACTGGTATTATATTGACTTTGAATGTATTTCAAATAAAGCAGAACCAGTTAATGTCACCTCAATTAGGCCAACATCGCCGCGTGTAGAAACGCGTGTTAGGCATAATATTTGTGCTCAAGTAAAAAAATTTTTTCCACGTTTTTTGGCGACCGGTTAATTTTCGTCTGTGAAAATTTGCTCATTTGACCTTTAAAATTCTTTATTTTGTGCCACCTTAGGCGAAAATTAACCGGTGAATTCTGTGAAATAGACCAAGGCCTGGGTTTTTCATGTACCAAGAGTCCAGGCCCAGGCATTTTTTGACCTTACTGGGTTTTTCCTGGGCCTGGGTCTTTCCTGGACTACAGGCCCAGGATCCGGCCCACATCAATAAATCAAACCCGGAACCCAGGAACAGGCCTAGGCTTTTCAAAAATCTCGATCTCTAGTTCACATTTAAACATTAAAAATTAAGCTTGTTCATTAAGTTTTCATTCTCATTTAAAAAATTTCAGTTTCGTGGAGGAGGATTTGCTATAGTTAAATGTTGGCATTGTTCTGATCAATTTTGTGCTGGCAGTCAATTCTATTCGGATCCAGACAAAATTTGGTGGCCCGATCTTTGTGTCAAATGTTTTCCAAAGGAGGGAACAACAAATACTTCACCATTAAATGAAGTAATTAAAATAACAACAAAACGTTCCTCCTTTCCACATCCTAATAATAATAACAATAATTTTTCCGTGTCTGATACAAACTTGAAAAATTATTCACCAAAATCATCATTGTATCTCCCAGGAGATATGGTGAATTAATTATATGAACAATTAATTAGGGGAACATGTTTTAAGCTCGAACTAAAAATTTAAGCTTGAACTTTAAAAAACTTTAAACTTAACAAGTTTTTAGATCAAACAAGTTTAAGCTTGAACTTGAAACTTAAGCTTAAAAATAACTAGTAAAACAAGTTAAGTTTAAACAAGTTTTAAGCTTGAACTTGAAATTTATCTTAACCTTAAAAAACTAGTATAAACAAGTTTTAAGCAGACTTGCACACGGATACGTATATGGATACAAATAATATCAAAACGCCTGCGGATATCCGTCTGTATCCGCCCGTATCCGCCGTAAATATCCGGATACGGATACCAAGATCAGTATCCGTGTGCAAGTCTGGTTTTAAGTTTAAACAAGTTTTAAGCTTGAACTTGAAGTTTATCTTAACCTTAAAAAACTAGTATAAACAAGTTTTAAGTTTAAACACGTTTTAAGCATGAACTAGAAATTTGAGCTTGAACTTTAAAAAACTAGTATAAACAAGTTTGTAAGTTCAAACAAGTTTTAATCATGAACTAGAAATTTAAGCTTGAACTTAAAAAACTAGTTTAAACAAGTTTCAAGCTTTAACTTAAAATTTAAGCTTTAACTTGAGATTTAAGCTTGAACTTAAAAACTTAGATAATAAGTTTAACTCAAACAAGTTTTAAGCTTGAACTTAAAAACAATGTTTTAATTCTAATTAATTTTCAAGATTAGTCTTAACTTTTTACCTTTTCTAATAATTTTAAATTTAGGGCAATACACACTTCCGTCCATATTCTCACTTCAGCAGCTCTTCATCACACAAAAGCAATTGTGGTAGTTCGACAATTTCAAGCTTCTCAACAACACATTCTAAAAATATTAATTTTAATAAATCAAATGAATCAATTGTTAAAAATAGAAGATTTTCAATTAGAGAACAGGAACGAAGAGAAAAATTGGAACAACGCGAAAAGCTTGATAAGCTTGCAAAATTGCTAGAAAATAGAGAAAAAGCTAGTTATGAAGAATTTAAATCATTAAGAAGTACAAAACCTCCAAAATGTGGTAGTAGTCGCAGCAGTATATTTTCTACTGGATACCGTCAATCTCAACAAGAGAAACAACATAATAAAAACTTTAATATTCAAACTAGCAGCCGAACAACATACACAGGTAATAATACAACTACTTATGGACAATTTATTCATCAACAAAACATTCCTCAAGAAAAACAACAAAACATTCATCAAAACATTTATTTAGATACACGACATAATAAAAACATAGAAGAAAATGTTTGTCAAAATGTTCTTCAAAATGTTTGTCAAAATGTTCGTCAAAACACTCAGAAAAACATTTATCAAAACATTCAACAAAACAAACAACAAAACATTAATAAAAACAAAGAAGAAAATGTTTTTAAAAACAAAAACAAACAACCTAAACCAGTTAATAAATGTTTTAGTGTTCAAAAGAAATTAAATGTTGAGAATATAGAAAATTCAACAACAACAAGTAATAGTACTTTAAAAATAAATAATGTTGACGAAGAACAAAACAACAACAATGATGTTTATTCAAGCAATAATAGTTTGTTGAATGAAACATTAGAAATTAGAACGAGTGAAAGTTCGGATGAAAATATTGGTAATGAACAACATAAGCAACAACAACCATTTTTTGGTGATAATTTTAATCATCAAAAAGCAGAAATTGAGATATTAGATGAAAATTTAAGTGGGACAAGAAAATTAAAAAAATAATAAAATTGGGGAAACTTTATTTCTGTTTGAGGGGTTCTAATTTTAGCAGATTGGAGGTGGTTCACGGCCTTTTAATTTTTAATCGGGCGTTTCATTATTAACTAGTCCTTAAAAACTTAAATATCGATAAGGTAGTAAAAAAATAATTAAAAATAATTATAAAAATTTAATTCAAAAATTTTGGCTTTTGTCTAGTTCATGCGTCTCATGAAGATTTATGCGTCTCAAGAAAATTTATTTTAAAAAAATTCTCATTCTTATGGGACGCATGAACTGGACAAGAGCCAAAATTTCTTTCACTAATAATAATTTCTTTTTCTTTTTAAAAAAAGTTGCTGAAGAATTTTCTTCATTAAAAGTTTCTGATACGCAAACACCAAAACAGCAAGTTGTAGATGAAGGAGAGCCTGGAGGTTTTGGTTATAGTAGACGTCGTCGCTTTGCTTTTGAATTAAAAACAAATTTGGAACAACAACAGAAAATAAAAGAAGGCAATCCTTTCCAAAAATTTCAATTTTCTTCTAATAAAAATGTTGGGAAAGAAAATTTGCAGAAAATAAGAGGAAATAAAAATAAGTGGGAAAATAGTGGAGATGATTATGTTATTGACGAAGCTTTAAATGCTGCATTATCGGATGAGGAGAGAAACGAAGAAGAGGGAGGAGATAAGTATAATGATGAAGATGTATTTGAATATGATGAAGAGGGGGTAGAAGAAGTAGAAGAGGAGGAGGTGGAAGAAGAGTATGCTGATTATTCGAGTAATGTGTCGGGGTGAGGATTTTTGTTTGAATAAATGTAATGAAGTAAGGGGATCCAGCTAGCGAGCATTCAAGTAGGCTGGAAAGAATTCGGGAGCTTAGGATCGATTCAAAAAGTAGGAAGCACAATTCTACGGTAGTTCAAGCAGTAGAGTACAAAAGCTGCCGTGGTGTGAAAGGGCCTATAAGCAATAACTGCAGGGACAACGCAGGATCAAATTTGCCCAGAGCTAAGCTTTCACCTCTCCTTACTTAATTTAGACCGGACTTGAGGTCCGCATACATGAGTTCGCATAAATTTGTCAGCAAAAACTGGTTTGGGATAACCCACAAGTACCCAAATTTTTAACGAATTTTCGAATTTATTAATTTAAGATCCCGACGATTCACTATCAAACCCAGCCTTTTTTCAAGTAAACAAAAGTTTTTTGGTTAGATGAAAACAACAATTATATGGAATTATATTGGATTATATTTAAAAAACATTTAAAGAAAATATTTTAAAATTGTATTTGAATATTTCAAATTTTCAGTTTATTTATACGATTATTTTAATTTTATAAATTTTGGGGTTATCCATTTATATTTATTTATAAGCCTGTGGCCAGAGCTGTTTCGAAATTTCTAATTTTTTTCTTTTTATGTTTGATTTCGGAAAGTTATTGTCTTTGATTTGTCTTTGTTTTTTTTGTTTCAAAACAGCTCTGTTCGGGGCTGTTTGCAATCAAAGGGAGACTGTCCTAAATTTGTTGACAGACATGGTTTTTATCAAATTAAATTATTATACAATTTTTCACTTTATTTTTTTCTTCTGATAAATTAAAGATAAACGACTGAACTTTTTTGCTATTTTGACCGCTATAATAAGGAATTGTTCAATAACTCAAAGGGAACAACTTTAAAATTTGTAGGGAGTAAAAACTTTGAATTAGCGTCCCTTTTAACTTATAAAAAGAATTTTTATGGAATTTTTGCCTAAAAAATTTTTTTTCAAAATGCGTTTGTTGGATATATTCTTGTATTATAACCAGTTGTTGTTCGTGGGTTTTGCACATTTATTTGATTTTCTGAAGAGTTTTTTGGTGTTAACTTGTATCTTACACGCCCCTGAAATTATAAACTTTTTTTTTAATTTTAGAGATTTACTTAGGTATTTAATTTAAAAATAAATTTGTATGAAAAAAAATAAAAATAGTCGAACATAAGATACCCTAAGAATTAGATCACTTCAGTTTAGAATAGGTTCAATTTTACGGGCCGAGGGAATATTTTACGGGGAACGGGGTGTCTGGGGGGAAGACCTCCCCTTGTTCCCCGGGGAATTCCCTGCTCTGGGAAACGGGGGTTGAATCCTAGTTTAGAATTTCAAACTTTATAATTAATTACTTGGTGTAGATTAGCAAGTGATTGTGTTGTTACTGTAATATCAGTTCCAATAAATCTGCGAAGGGTATGTCGATAAGTCAAAACGGAAATTAGAGCATCGAAACAGTTGAGGAAATGATTTATGGGACCGATAGTTGAGGCAATTTGATGTTCAATTATCTAATACATAAGAAATAATATTTATTTTCATGTTTTAAGAATTTTTTATATTTTGAGCATGATCTTAAGTTTTCCCAATAATAATTTGTACTCAAGTTTTGTGCGTACTTTTAATATTATAGTTTTCAAGTTTTAAGCATGACTTAAGTTTTGTTCATTAAATGATTTCAAGTCCAAACTTAAGTTTTTTTCAAGTTTTAAACACCACTTAAGTTTTATTTATTTTATAATAATTAGCTTTTTTTCAAGTTTTAAGCATGACTTAAGTTTTGTTCATTAAATGATTTCAAGTCCAAACTTAAGTTTTTTTCAAGTTTTAAACACCACTTAAGTTTTATTTATTTTATAATAATTAGCTTTTTTTCAAGTTTTAAGCATGACTTAAGTTTTGTTCATTAAATGATTTCAAGTCCAAACTTAAGTTTTTTTCAAGTTTTAAACACCACTTAAGTTTTATTTATAATTTCAAGTTTATCTTCAAGTTTTAAGCGTAAACTTAAGTTTTATTTATTTTATAATAATTAGCTTATCTTCAAGTTTTAAGCATGAACTTAAGTTTTTTAAACTTGTTTTATGTTTATTCTCAAATTTTAAAAGTTTTATTTAAAAGAAATTTAAGTTCAAGCTTAAAACCATAAAATAAAACAAAATAATTATCTGCTCACCAATTGTATGATGAAAATTGTTAGTTGAGGGGCGAAGTTCAATCCTATTTCTGTGCAAAGCATTAGCTTGACTAGGGTATCTGGCTAAAGGGAATTTATTATATTTTGATAATTTTTATTATTACAAACCTCCACTTTATTTAACTGATTTCTAGCAATATTTGCTTGCATATTTGTACTTATAGCTTTTGCTCTTTTTCTTAAACAATAAAAAAAGTAGGCTCCGAAAATTATTATCATAACTCCACCAAACAATTTAGTTGAGATGAATGCTGTTAAATTAATAATTATTTTTTAATATTTTAATTTTTAGCATCATTTTGTATTCAATAGTTAATTAATTTCTTTTAAATGTTTCAAAATGTTCGTATTAATGTTTCAAAGCTAAATCAAATTTAAAAACAAAAAATAAAACTGCTTAAAAACAAAACAAAGCATAAACTTAAAAAGATAAAATTAAGTTCAAGCTTAAAACATTGAGAAAAACAACTTAAATTAAGCTTGAACTTAAAAACACAAAACAAAGCTTGGACTTAAAAACACAAAAAAGTATAAGCTTAAAAACACAAAACAAAGCATAAACTTAAAAACACAAAACAAGGCATAAACTTAATAACACAAAACAAGGCATAAACTTAAAAACACAAAACAAAGCATAAACTTAAAAACACAAAACATGGCATAAACTTAAAAACACAAAACAAAGCATAAACTTAAAAACACAAAACAAAGCATAAACTTAAAAACACAAAACAAAGCATAAACTTAAAAACACAAAACAAAGCATAAACTTAAAAACACAAAACAAAGCATAAACTTAAAAACACAAAACAAGGCATAAACTTAATAACACAAAACAAGGCATAAACTTAAAAACACAAAACAAAGCATAAACTTAAAAACACAAAACAAAGCATAAACTTAAAAACACAAAACAAAGCACAAACCCAAAAAAAAGTTCAAGCTTAAAACATTGAAAAAAAAAACGACTTAAATAAAGCTTGAACTTAAAACATACTTATGTTTCCATCTTTCATCAAACATGCAAAAACATTACAATCTAAACATTAAGATTGTAAAACATTAAAAAAATGTTTTTTCAAACCTGTTTCAGCAGGTAACGGCAAAATTTGAAGAAATGCATAAAAGTTTATAAAAAATATAGCCAATATTGTCAAAACACAAGCAAAAAGCAACATAATTTTGTTTCGTTCTACATAGCCATTTAAAAGTTGAACAGAGAAAATTCTGTCGAGAGTCAGAAAAAATATTGAGTAGGGGATTACTGCCATCATACTAATTAGTAAATATTTTGGGGATATAACTTAAATTAATTTATCTAATTTACCATTCTGTGGTAATTGTTGTCCAAAATACATAATTAGGATCAATTAGACGACCTATAAATTTATTGATAAAATAAATTTGTTGACTACTGAATAACTTGGTTGGTTCATCTCCTAACATGGAAGAAAACAAGAGTTTTTCTTGTGTGTTTATAAAGGGACGGGTTATTGTAGCCTAACCCGAATTTAGTCTTTTTTCGTCTACTTTCGGGTTTTTAGTTTATTTTCGGTTTTAAGTTCAAGCTTAATATTTCATGTTTAAGGAATTTTTGTTTTTAAGCTTAAGCTTGGGTTTAAAAATTTTTTCGCCTTCATCAAGATTATATAAAGTTAGCCGTTCATCACGCTTGGTCTTGAATACTTGTTCTTAGGGTGTAGTCTTGATTTTGACCTTGAGAAATTTCTCGGTTCGGAAAGTACTCTCTTGTACAAGTTTCTGAGTTTTTTTGATAATTTAATTAAAATTCACCCTCAGGGCGCCAATGAAATAACATCCACGCAATATGAGGCAAAGCAGTTGCCATCAATATTGTCCAACATATTAGATTGGCAATTAACAAATTAGAAATTCCGTTATTTTCCTTAAATTTTAAAAATATTTTTTAAAAAATTTATTTTAAAATTAATATACTCTTAAAATAAATCCTTTAGAACGATGTTTAAATAATTCATAAAGTATTCGAATAATAAATTGTAGGGATATAGCGTAGACAATAAATGCTGTCGAATATTCAAGTAGAGTTAAAATATTGGAGAATTCAGAGACTTTAGGCATTTTTGAATTTAGTTTAGTGTTGTTATATCAATAATTTAGGACATAAATAAATGGTGTGATTATTCATATTCTTGATTTTATATTTAAGCTTAATTTTAAGGGGTTAAGAGCAAACTTTATCAAGTGGAAAAGCTTAGTTTCATGTTTGTAAGATCAAACTTAATTTAATGTTTTTAAGGTCAACCCTAATTTAATGTTTTTAAGATGAAACTTAATTTAATGTTTTTAAGTCAACTTAATTTCATGTTTTTAAGATTCAAACTTAATTATTGTTTTTAAGATGAAACTTAAATTAATGTTTTTAAGATCAAACTTAATTTAATGATTTTGAGACCAAACTTAATTTAAAGTTTTTACGTCAACTTAATTTAATGTTTTTAGATCAAACTTAGTTAAATGTTTATAAGATGAAACTTAATTTAATGTTTTTAGATCAAACTTAGTTAAATGTTTATAAGATGAAACTTAATTTAATGTTTTTAAGATCAAACTTGATTTAATGTTTTTAAGGTCAACCTTAATTTAATGTTTTTAAGTAAAACATCATTTTCATGTTTATTTCGGTTTTAAGTTCAAACTTAATTTTTCATGTTTACGTAATCATAGTTTTTAAGTTTAGGCTTTGTTTTTAAAAAATTAAAAAATGTTAAGTAGTAATATTTAGTTAAATATTTACTCGATATTTAAATATATGTACTTATTTAAAAAATAGTTATACACACATATGTCATTTAAATGGCTTAAAGTAAAATGAGTTCTAAAAAATGTATTCTCATTAAAATAAAAATCTTTTTACACAAAATTGTGAAAAATGAAAAAAAATATTTGAAAAATTTTTATAATTATTTGCCAGACTATAATTATTTTTTTTATTTTTTAAATGTAAATATTATTTCGTGTTTTATTTATTTTGTATTTACTGTGAATTTATTTTAAAATTTTAATTATTTTATTTGTTTGCACTTTTAAGAAAATAATTTGCCTCTGGTTTAGTGTATGAGAACAATTATATATTAAATAATAAATTTATGAGCCAATAAAAGGTTTAGCTTACATAAATTTTAAGACAGTTAAAATGTACCCTCTAGTGCTGAGTGCCAAGCGTTTTTGGAACTTGTTTTAAGCAAAAACACTCAACACATTGACACGAATATCATTTTAGGAGGGTGAAATTGACACGGATGCACGGACCTAACAGTGATACTCGGCAAAATCCCAACACCCTAAAATGAACTCCAAATTGAGCGAATCGGCTGGCGTGATATAAAGGATAGGGATTTGCTGAGTCCAAGAAGTGTCAAGACTGCTAGTCTAGACTTGAATTTAGCGAAAATTCTATGTATAACTCGAATAATGGCTGAATTTAGAAATTAATTTATTAAAGATTTTTAAGGCTAGCTGAAAATTAAATAACCAAAGCTTGAATTTATTTATTTTTTAAATAAATACATATATTTGGCTTTCCTAAAGAGTCTGCATCTGTCAATATTAAATTAATAAGCTAGGCGAATTTAAAAAAAAATTTTTCTATACTATAATTTGTTTAAGAAAACTAGGCAAAATAAATTTAATAAAAAACATATACAGACTCTTTAAGGAAACAAAATTTAATTAAAAAAATTTTACAGAATTAAGCTTTGGTTATTTAATATTCAATTACCATCTATTTTTAATTTTTTAAGAATATTATATTCTCAAAAAAATATTTTTTTTGTAATACCTAGATAATAATTAAATAGATTTTGCCTTCAAAAAATTATTTTTTTTAATTATTAGGTTTACATAAACAGTAACATTCTGTTTGTGAGGAACAGAAATTTACCAAATTTATATTACATATAATTATCGAAATACGAAAGAAAATACGTGATTATTTGTTTTACTATTTATGTTAAACTTAATCTTTAAAGCATTAAAAAAAATAATTTTGGAAAGCTTTTGCAAAATAAATGGTTATTATGAAAATAAAATTAATTTTAACATAATAACTTGGGTGAACGAAAAGATGCAAATACAGTAGTGTATGTATGCCATGAAAGGACAGATACCGTAAATGCTGAAATAATGTCCCCCCCCCTCAAATAATTACCTCGCCTGTATTAGTTACTCCCTCAGGTGAAAGGTTGAAACAATAATTACTTTTAAAAATAGTATAATTAGCCTTTCTAAAATAACCTCTATTAATTATCACGCCTCTGTTTATTACCCCCTTCAGCGAGAGATTGAAACAATAATTACCCAGGGTAATTAATACGGTTTTTACGGTATTAATTTTTATTTTGGGTTTAATGAATATCTCTGTAAATTTTTCAGCTTTCTCATAACCTTTGAATAAACGATCAAAAAATATTTTTAATAATGAATTAAACTTACTACTAAAATATCGATAAATATACATAAATTTTACATCAATCGTAACAAATTTTAAATATTTTCTCTTGTTATTCCATCTGAATCCAAATAAAATTCATAACTTCCATTGTCAATCAAAGGACTAATTTTGGCAACAAATACCGAAATGTGATATTTACTGTAAAAACCCTGATTGTATACATTCATTTGGCCATCTTCAATATCATCCACATTTGTTTCTGATATTCTTATTGATATTTTATGTCTCAAACTTTTCAATACTTTTTTAACCAAATCGGAAATTTTCTTGAACATTTTAAACACACACCTTTCCTCGTTTGCTTTTTTAATTTTAACGTAAAATTGAATCCATCCAACAGTAAAATCCTTCATGATAATAATAAAATAATTCCCTGGATTTTCAAATTTTAAACAAATTTCAATGTGAGAATATTCCATTTTCTCTTGATGTTTTTTGCCATTTAATGAGGTTGACTCAATTAAATTAGCCACTACTATATTACCCCTATTAACTTATTGATTAGTTAGAACAAGAGAGCTCTGAAGAGACTGCCTATTGGGTGAGAGAAGTCAGAGAAAAAATTTTTTTCTCTCCCCAAATAGGCAGTCTCTTCAGAGCTGTCCTGTTCTAACTAATCAATAAATTAAAATTGTACCCGATCCTATTGATACCCCCCCCTCCCCCATCTACAGTAGACAAAACCAAAACCTTTCAGGACGTTCCGCGGCGAAGAACATTTGAGAGCCAAACATTTTCAGGAAAGGTTCGATGAGCCTCTAATGTTTTTAAGTTCTTTGCAAATTTCCTAAAGGTATCTCGCTAATATTTTTTACAATGTTGGTTTCTTCAACAGAAGTTATGAATCCTAGTTTACGTAGAACTCGAAGGAGTAAGATCCAACAGATTAAAATCATAGGGAGAATAATGAAATGAAGTAGTAGTAATAAAGGTATCCCATAAGCTACAGTGGGATCCAAAGCATTATTTTGTAAATTCGTGCTAGCAATTTTTAAAAATTCGAATGTTATATTCTGAGTAGTATTGGAAATATTTTGCATTTCAAAAATTAATATATTTTAAATTATCATTATTTATACAACTTTTCAACCTAGATTTGAATCTGTAACTATATGTCTATTGTAATCTATCATAATCATCTGATCAAATTCGCCTAAAATAATCATTTCAACACCTCCAGCAGGAATGGGAGTATTAAATTCTAAACGAATACTAGTAGTTCCACTTTTGAGAAGCTCAAAACCACAGGAGTCATCGAGCGTCGATGTCAAAGGTATTACAAAAAAGGTCCACCCATTTTTAAATCGTGACATTGAAATATCAATGGAACGATCTGAATTAGCCATTCCAAGAGCTTCATACATGTCGACAAAAGCCCTAACAAATAAGTCTTGGGCAAACTTTAGCTTATAAGCGACCATAGGATAAATATGCCCGCCAGTATGAACCGAGATATCCCTAATATCAAATGGTTTAAAATTGAATGGAGAAAGAGCAATGTCACCATTAAAGGCTTTATTCGAAACTAAGGCAACAGTAATGCGCCGCGGTATAGCCGAGCTGAAGGCATTATATTCAATTTCTGTCCGACCTGAAGTAAGATAGGTAGATTTCATTTCAGTTCGGCGAACAGCATACGTAGCAGGTTTAGATTCAAGAGTCTTATAAATGTTCATATTAAGTGATGGTTGCACTTCAACCATTTTCGAAAATAATTTAACGTCGTGGACATAAAGTCTATATTGATTACTGTCGCCTTCTTTGATATTTTGTAATATAAAAGCATCCTTACTTTTGTAAATGCTAAAGTGAATATCTAAATTATTAAGGAGAAATAATTCTTGATTCCCCAAATCAAAATCAAGGCGCGAAAGGAATTGTGAGCGTTTACCGTTTGCAAAAATAGAGCAGCGATTTTTGAAACCATCATCTGTAGGATCATCATGCTTTTCAGTTCTATAATATCCGATAGATGCAAGAAAATGTGATTTAACGTTGTCTGGAAATGACAACTCATTAGTAATATATGCTTTGTAAGGATAAAGAGTACCACTATCGTAAACCTCTGTATTACCAACAGTCACCTTCAACTGTTGAACAAATGTTTGTCCAATACCTTGAATCGATCCAATGCTATTATCAGTTGCTTCAATATCTACCCATTTACCAGTAGTTCCCAGCTTTTCAATTGATAGCTCGAGGTAAAGATAAGTTCGAGATAAGTCAGTCCAAAGATTATCACTGAACAATCGAAACAAATACGGAGAATCTTGTGTTATTGTACTAAGTGGGAGAATTTCTCTAAAAAAGGATCGGACAACAGAAACGTTTGTAGGAGGTACAGAAAAAATACTTAATGCGCTATTCAGTGCCAAAGGGCTGTTTTCATTAATTTGTTTTGGGCAACTCATTTTAGTATGTTCCTAACGTGTCTACTCGTAGTCGTTTTTGCGGGCGGGATTTTTTATTAGATTTTTTAGAATTTTTCTTTTTAAAAGTAGGAATAAAATTAGGAGGGCCGATTAGAGAATATGGATGTTTATTTATAGTTTTTGGCTTAAGATCTGGAATTGCGTCATTCATTTGCCCGATGGCAGGGGACTTTTCTATATTTTTGTATCGTTTAA